CCAGATCTTGGTTTCTAAATATCATTCTACCATAAAAGGAGCTAGGGCTCTGCGAAGAATTACTTAATTCTAGGACTGGAACAAGAAAAGTACAAGATAAGCCTAGAGCATCTTATAGTTCCATAAATCTAGGAAATGTTAAAATAAATAAAAGGATGTAGGTTTTTCAAAGGTAGATGGGAGCCAGCCTGAAAGAACTTTCCAATGGCCAAACCTGAGCAAAGAAATAAATAACATGGTGTTGGGTTATAACCCAAAGTATAAAATAAATACACAAGTCCAAAGGATAGACATATAGACCTGAGAGTGGAATAAAACCAAGAGTTCAGAAATATGCCCATACACCTATTGTCACTTGATTTCAACAAGGATGCCAAGACCACTCAATGGGGAAAAAATAATAGTCTTTTCAGTGAATGATTCTGGAACAATTAGACCTTCACACATAAGAGAATGAGTTTGAGCCCCTAACTTACACCACGTCCAAAAATCAACTCAAGATGGATGAAAGACCTAAATGTAAGAACTTAAACTATAAAACTCTTAGAAGGAAATAAAGGTATAAATCTTCATGTTTTTGTATTAAGCAATAGTTTCTTAGATCACACCAAAAGCACAAGCAACAACAAAAGATAAATTGAGACTTAATCAAAATTTAGAAATTTTGTCCATGAAAAGGCACTGTCAAAAAGTGAAAAGATTCACAGAATGGGAGAAAATATTTGCAAATCATGTATTTGATAAAGGTCCAGTACCCAGACTATAAAGAATTCTTACAACTTAACAATAAAAAGACAACACAATTTTTAAAAAGAGCAAAGGATTTATTTTATTTTTTTTTTTAAAGATTTTATTTATTTATTTGAGAGAGAGAGAATGAGAGAGAGAGAACACATGAGAGGGGATAGGGTCAGAGGACGAAGCAGACTCCCTGCCGAGCAGGGAGCCCGATGCGGGACTCGATCCAGGGACTCCAGGATCATGACCTGAGCCGAAGGCAGTCGCTTAACCAACTGAGCCACCCGGGCGCCCCAAGAGCAAAGGATTTAAATAGACATTTCTCCAAATACAATATACAAATGGCCAGTAAGCACACGGAAAGGTTCTCAACATCACTAGTCATTATGCAAAGGCACATCAAGGGGCGCCTGGGTGGCTCAGTCAGTTGAGCGTCCAACTCTTGGTTTCCACTCAGGTCATGATCTCAGGGTTGTGAGATCAAGCCCCGTGTCAGGCTCCATGCCTCAGTGCCGAATCTGCTTGAGATTCTCTCCCTCTCGCTCCTCCTCTGCCCCTCTCCCCGCTCACCTATGCTCTCTCTAAAATAAATAAAATCTTTAAAAAAATGCGCATCAAAACTATAATGAGATACCACTTCATAGCCACTAGGATGGCAATTTCAGAAAAACAAGCCAAAAGCCAGAAAATAGCAAGTGTTGACAAGCCGTGGTGAACGCTTACACACTGCTGGTAGGAATGTCAAATGACGCAGCCACTTTGGAAAACGGTCTGGAAATTTTTCAAAAAGTTAAACACAGAGTCACCATATGACTCAACAATCCCACTTCTAGGTATGTATCTCAGAGAATTGAAAACACATGTTCAAAAAAACTTACCCACCAATGGTCATGGCAGCATTACTCATACTAGCCAAAAAGTAGAAACAACACAAAGGTCCATCAAACCTGATTGGATAAATGAAGTGTAGTATATCCATACAATGGAATATTATTCAGCCCTAAAAGGAATAAAGGACCAATACATGCTATATACATGGATGAACTTTGAAAACATTATGCTAAGTGAATGAAGCCAGACGCTGAACGTTACATATTACATGATTCTATTTATATGAAATGTCCAGAATAGACAAATTAATAGGGACAGAAAGTAGATTTGGGGAAGAGGGGCATTGGGAGTAACTGCTCATAAGTACAGGATTTCTTTTGGGATGATGGAAATGTTCTGAGATTAGATATGGATGGTTGCATGATAGTATGAGTATAGAAAAATCCATTGAACTGTATGCTTTGAATTTTATGTTGTGTGAGTTATGTTGCAATACAAAATTACAGAAAGAAGAAAATAACCTAAAATTGGTGCAAAAACATGTGTGTGAGTCCCTACTGAGATAAAGAAATGATTTAAATAAATAAATTAAGATGAAGAGCCAAAACTTTCCTACTGAAGAATTCCAAATAGTTTATTTGGATAACCTTTCTAGAAGGTAAAGCTTAACCCCCACCCCTCCCAGTCACCATCTTAGTGGTTCACTGCAATTAGTGACTTGCTTCTAAGAACTCGAATATGGAAAGGGATAAATAGTCACTTTACAGTGGAGAAGCATGGCAGACACTGTCATACCCCAGTGTTCAGGGTTCACACCATGTAACTTCTGATATATAATGAGCACACTTCACCTCTGTGGTGTTCTTTCAAAAAACCCATGACCCCTGTCTACTCAAGAGAAAAATATCAGATAAATGCCAATTGAAGGACATTCTACAAAATGCCGAACCAGAACGTCTCAAAACTGTTAAGGTCATGAAAAAATAAAGAAAGATGGAGAAACTGTCACAGACCAAAGGAAACTAAGGAGCTATAGCAACTAAATGCACTGTGGTATTCTAGATTGAATCCCGGAGCAGAAAAGCTGGTGAAATCCCACTGAAGTCTGAGTTTACTTCACGCTAATGTACCAATGTTGGTTTTGAAAATTTTCATAAACTTACGTGGTAATACATTAACAAGAGAGAAAACTAGGTGAGGGGTATATGAGAACTCTGCATCTCTTTGCAACTTCTCCATAAACTTAAAATTATTTCAAAATAAAAGTTTATTTAAAAAATAAGTGCAAGACTAGGAGAAAATATTTGTTCATGTATAACAAACAAACAAATACATAGTTTGCATCACTTGGCTCAATGGGTCAAGGATAGTGTGACAGACCTGATCTCCTGACAACACTCCTTTGCCCCCGGTTCCTGGCTGACAGGACTCAGATTGCCTCAAATAGTGGTGCAGATCTCTGGATCTCCTGCCCCTATCCCAGCTCCATTTATCTTTTCATTCATACATTCAGTGGTTCACTCAATAAAATGTAATGAGCATATTTTATGTGGTAGAAACTGTTCTAGACACATACTCTGTCCTCATGGAGCGTAAAGGGAATGAACCGTAGTTGGTCTAAGCCAGATATAACTTCCCTCCCTTTGGCTGTGATTGGTTTTGGGGGTGGCCATGTGGTTCTGTTCCCACCAGTAAGATGTAAGAGGAGGTAATACAAAGAGGTAATTTTAAATAGTAATTTGAATTTAATAATTTTGAGAATACTTTACATAATTTTAAGGAAGCAAATCTGTAAACCTGAAGAAAGATAGAAATCATGGCCTCCTAAGGAAGGAACAGATTTGGCCTGCACAGGCCTTTATCTCCTTCATTTTCCTTCTTCCTCCTTCTCCTTTCCTCCTGCCTGGAAGGTGGATGTGATGCCTGGAGGTGAGGCAGCTGTCCTGTGCCTATGAAATGCTAAGCATGCTAAGCATGACAGAACAGAAAGACAAGAAAATGCCTGGGTCTCTGCTGTTCAGCTGCTCTGGTCCTGTATTGCTTATGCTTAATCCTCCAGAATTCTTATGATTGAGAACATTATGTAGAATACAAATCTATGTATTTGTAAAAACACTTTAATATTTGGCCATATTCTTTTTTTTTTTTTTTTAAGATTTTATTTATTTGACAGAGAGAGACACGGCGAGAGAAGGAACACAAGCAGGGGGAGTGGGAGAGGGAGAAGCAGGCTTCCCGCTGAGCAGGGAGCCCGACGCGGGGCTCGATCCCAGGACCCTGGGACCATGACCTGAGCCAAAGGCAGACGCTTAACGGCTGAGCCACCCAGGCGCCCCTTGGCCATATTCATTTCAGATTTTTAAAAAAGAAATTAGACTTAGGGATAAAGCAAAAAGCCTGCTGTGTACCCTGGGGGACCTCGTTTTTCCCCTCTCCCTGCGGAGATGGTTACTATACTGAATTCGGTGTTTTATCATCCTCATGCATGTTCTCAAATTTAAAATTGTATTGTGCTGTTATCGTTCTTGCTTTTTTATTCAACAAATTTTAAAAGATTTGTTCATGTTGACACATGTAGCTCATGTCAACTGCTGTACAGTCTCTCTTAGATGAATATATCACAATTAATCTATTCCCCCATCGGTGGACATTTAGGTGACTTCTAATCTTTCATCATTATAAACAATACTAGAATGAACAATCTTATACAGGTCTCCTTGTGGATAGATTTCTCTCGGGAATAGCTGAGTCTTAGGGTATCTTTAACTTTACTGGACAGAGGCCCATGATACCTTGTTCAAACCTTGTGGGGCCAAATGTTTCAGAAGAAGAACTGTTTGGATTTTAGACAGGCACAATGGTGCACGTGGCATGTATCATACTCTAGCAGGGCTTGGGGAAAAGTATTCCATAATCAAATATATTACTTTTTCTGTGGTGACAAGTAAACATATCCACATTAAGTGGGATAAATAAAGACCATAAATAGTCTCACATCAAGTCAGGTTTTGCCACCAAATATATTAGGAAAGAATTTCCAGTTTTGAGAGTTTGTTTTATTTTTTATTTTTTATTTATTTTTTATTTCTGAATTGCAGATAAGGATTTGAATCTGCAGCACAAAACTGCTTTTGAAAGTCGTTTAATCTATCTTCCCACCACCGTTTCTCCATAGCCTCATCAGCATCTGTTAATATGGGGCTGTAGGACTTTGCCAATCTGATAGATGTTTACGTATTCTGTAAGTAAAACAGAAAATGTAGAATATGGAAGGAGAGATCTCATTTACAAAAGTAATGAAAATGTTAAACCTCCGTGGTTGTACTAGATAAGAAATGTGAAGAATCCAAATGCAGAACATGTTAAAACTGTTAGAGGAATATGGATGTGACGAATAAGTGGACAGATATATTTCATCAATGCAGACAGACTGTGTTATAAAGATGCTATTTATGGGCAAGTTATACATTCAATGCGCTTCCAATCAAAATCACAACAGAACTTTTGAAACTTGGAAAAAACAATTATAAAATTACCATGGAAGAATAAAAATCCAAATATTCAGGAACAATCTGAAAGAGCATGATGTAGGAAGGGATTAGTAGATATTCAAATAGATTCAAAAGATATGGTAGTTAAAATAATTTGGTAATGGCTCAGAAACAGAATGATCACAGAACTGTAATTCAAGTCCAGAAATAGGCCCAAGGATAAATGGGAATTTAATATATGATAAGGACGATAATTACAAATCACTCAGTGATGCTGGTTAGCCATTTGGAAAAAAAAACCAAGCTGGACTCCTGCCACATTCTTTACCTCCAAGTAAACTTCAAATCGACAAATAATTAACATGTTAAACATGAACTAGCAGAAGAAAACATGGGTCGATATTTTTATAATTTTGAAGAGAGGACAGTCTGACATGAAATCTAAACATCATAAAGGAAAAGCCTGATAAACTGACATTTCAAAAATGAAAAACGTTTTCTGTGGCAAAAAATGCCAAGTGCTGAAAGTTGTGGCTCATCTCTTCAGTATTCCTTTCACCATTTCACCGTTTCCCCAGCGTGGAGCTGCCATGTGGCTTGTTTGGGGGTGAGTAGTGACACCTCTTTACTCCAGAGTCCCAGGGTAAGAGCTGATTGTTTTAACCTACCGGAGTAACTCCATTGCCCTTGCCACAGTGATTGGTTCCAGTAACCATGTCTCAGCAGTGAACCCATGGCATGGTCCTTGTCAAAAAGAATGACACGTAATCCAATTGAGGGCTCTAACTATTGGAGGCTATGGGTCAGCAGGTGTCTTACTCTTCTCAGAGGGCCTTTGGAAGTCAGTTTCTGCACAGTGTACTGTGGACGTGTGAACCCTGGAAGAATGACAGCCGTGTAGCCACCAGCAGGGAACTGAAGTCTAGGATAGCCTTGCGACTGTAAAAGGCAGAGCAGGCAGAAGGAAAGAAACAGGATCCTGACATTTTTTAGTCGTCGAATCAAACCAACCCCGAACTACCTTTGGACTTTCAGTCAACAAATCTCCTCTTCTGAGTTAGGTCTTAAGTTACTTGCAGAATAAGGAGTTCTAAATGATATGGACCATGAACAGACTCAAAAGACAAACTGGGGAGAAAATCTGCAAATGCAAATGACAAATAATTAAAATCCCTAAAATACAAAGAGCTACAAGTCAACATGAAAAGAAAACAACCGAATTTTTTTTTTTAAAAAGGCAGAATATATGGACAGCTGCTTCATGTAAGAGGCAATACAAACGACTAATACAAATGGAGGCTTCAGCTCACTATCAATTCATGTACAGAAAACAAAGGGAAATCATTTTTTACCTTTAGGATTGGCAAAGATGAAAAATACTGACATCACATGGGGCTGAGGATAGAGAAACAGACTATCACATCCTACTGGAGAGAGCGTAAATGGGTGACTTTCAAAAGAGCAATGTACAATTTCTATTAACATTTATAATACTTTTGATCTTTAACCAATCAGTTCCACTCCTGAAACCTGATACTGCAGAAGTACCTACGCAAGAAGGCAGGGGGGTGCACACAAATGTCTTGCAATACTGTTCACAATAGTGAAATACTGGGAACATCCCCGATATTCACCAGTTCAGAATTAAATGAACTCCAGGGACGTCCATGCAATGGAAGTAGTCATGGGCTTCATAAAGGAAGAAATCCTATTATATTGCCACGAAAGACATCCAAGATACATTAAGTGGGAAAGAAACCTGTAATGTACTACGATCATATTTTTTTGTGAAGAAAGGGTATATACATTCAACGGAGCAGAAAGAACACCATCATACTGTTAACAGTGATTCCATGTGGGAAATGGGATCAGGGCTCAGGGAAAGGGCGGGAGTGGGGGGTGGGGAAGGCCCTAATTCTTTTAGATACCCACGTGCCCATACACACAGCCACGTACACACACCTTCACCACCACCGGGACCCACACCCTGCCTGTCAGGAATTAGGCTGCTGCTTTGGTTTCTCACTTGACTCAATCTGCTTTCACCCTGTTCCTTACTCCACGGCATAGCAAGAGTGGAGTGCTACATGCTTGTAGAGAATTTTAAAACCATAACACAACTGACTAAAAGGTAGCTTTTTATCCTCAATACCCTTCCTAAACAGTGTCAGCCACCGGATATTCCTCCTGGCAGGGAGTGCAGCTCTCCCCGCACCCTCCCTTGGTAGTGGCTGTCCCCACTCCAAGTGTCACTCATTTGGTCCCGAGGGCCCGGGTGCCATGTGCAGGGCAGAGTGCTGCAAAGGATTCAGACAGGCGTAGAAGGTCACCCTTGACTTCGAAGAGCTCGTTATCGAGCCGAAGTGTCAGACAAGGTCACGGTTACTAGAAATCCTCAGTGTCTCTGGGGCTCAACTTACCGCCCGCGTGACCTGCCTCCCCATAGCAGCCTCTCCTCCGGCTGCCCTGATGGGGTCTACCCTCACTCCTTCCCCCTGATGCCCTCATGCTGCCCTGCACCTGAGGCCTTCCCATTTCTCCTAGCCCATGGGGAAAAAAGGAAACTCTCCGATCCTTTGATCCTTCTCCCATGCCCATCTTTGCTTCCCTTTGTCTCTAGGGTCCAGATCATCCCTTAACCCTTCACTTTGCTCCTGAGGGTGACACCCCGAAAACTCCTTCCCTAAAGCCTTGGAAACATACCTGGGAAGAAAAAGTGAAATGGTTGCTCAGAACTTGCTATCTGAAAAGCCTTTAGCTGGGCAGAGGCCTCTTTCCCGGGCCCACAGAAGTGGTGTTTCCCCAGCGGGTTTCTCTGGAGTAGAGGTTCACTGGAGAGGGCAAGGTCTTACTCCATCAGCTTTAAAAATGAGCACTCCCCGGAATAGAAAGAAAAGCCATCCACCGGGCTTAACCTGAGCCTTGTAACAGAGAGGGGAGTGTGTAGGGAGAACAAGAGGGAGATCCAATTAATTACCCTTAGAAGCAAAGGTAAAAGTTGAAGATTACGAGACCCATTTACAGGAGGAAATAGACCCATCATTGAGCCTAGAGAATGGAAGGATTGTTTAGGGCCAGAAAAGCGTCTCAATGTTCAGATTCCATTCCTTTTCTGGAGCTTTGGAGAGAGGAAGGTCATAGCCTGGGCTTGGAAGATAACACTTAGCAGTGGGTTCAGACTGGGAGGGGGGCCTGTTGTCTTAGGCCCAGTCCTGGGCCCATATCCTGCCCCCACCTGGAGGGAATTGGAGCTTTAATCCTCTCTAGGAGTTGATGCGGGCTGGCTGGTGATGGGGAGCCCCCCATGAGAGAGGCCCCTCCATTACCATCACAACGGCTGATGTCACAGACCCCACAAAGCAGCTGAGGCCCCGAGTGCAAGGTAACCCTAACCCCAGCAGTGATTGAAACAGATAGAGGGGTGGCTCTCCCACACAATGCCCAGGCCCCCACTTCTCTCCTCCTCCTCCTTGCACTTCCTCAAGAGCTTTTGTCTTCTGGTCCCTTGGGCTATGAGGCTCTCTCATTCCCGGCAAACACTGCCCACTAAATTCAACACTGAGGCCTCTGGGGGAAAGGAAAGGGTCTGGCACTTTCTCTCCCTCCCCTTACCTCCCACAAGCTAGTCCCCATGGTCATCTACCTGGTGAGCAGATAAGCCTGGCTGTGAGCAAAGGGGCAAGCTGATGACTGCTTCACATCCGTCCCGGTCCCCCACCTCTCACCCTGCTCCGGGCACCCCGCAAGGGCTGCTATTCTCTCTGGATAAGGCCTTGGGTGAGCCCCTGCACCAGTCAGTGCTCAGAAGCTATGGAGAATGTTCTGTGGGGTGAGTCAGGTTCAGTTTGGCTTTGCAGGCTCATGTGTCTGTATTGGGCCCTCTGGTTTGCCTTCTCCCCAACTGGCCGTAAGTCTCTATTCTCAGGAATGCAGGGTCCTCGTGCCCACCTCAGTACCCTAACCTGGCTGGGTAGAGAAAGCTCGGAATGGTGACTCTACTGGTTTTTAGGTATGACCTGGGGATCATGTGGGGGCTCCTGGAAATGGTGGGTGGCCAAGCTGTAGGTAGTGAAAAATCTGCCAGAACCACAGGAGGCAAGGAGAGGAGGTAACTGCTCAGAGCTTCTAGCTTTCCCTCGGGAGATGTGCGCTTCCAAAGAGATTTGGCTATCATTCAGTATTTTAGTCCTGAATCTCTCCTAGACACTGATGAAAGCCATGTACTTTCTACCCAGAAAAACAGGTGAATGCAAGCTGGTGCACACATGTGCATGCGGACACTCCCCCCCCCCCCCCCCACACGTGGTCCAAGGGGACATGGACCCCTGGTTAAGAACTCCTGAATTCTAGTAGAAGTTTTGGCACCAAAGAGAGAGCAGAGAATGTTCTAGGTGGTGGTGACAAGGAGATTCCACCTGAAGGACTGGCTCTACTCTGACCCAGGCAGTATCCAGTTCACATACAGGAGCTGGAGAGAGAGCCTTCGCTACCATCAACCCTGTAAATGAGGACTACTATTCTGTGCCACTGTTGAGGACTGGGAGATTTAGGGAGGGAACTGGTCAAGGTCAGCCGGCTAGTAAGTGGCACAGCAGGGACTGACACCTGAGTGCAGTAGGCAGACTTGTTACTGGAGAAATTCTTTCCATCCTCTTCTCGTGGCTTCTGTGCCAGCTGAGGGGTTAAGTGCAGTGGGTGCGGTCACAACATTTCTGGCCTTATTCCCCGTGGTTCCAGGCGTGCCCCCCGGGGCTCGGCACTAAGCCTCCCAGCACGTGCCAGAATCCGGCCAACTTTTCACTCTAACGTGGTCTGCACCTAAGATCCTCCCATAGTTTAACACAATCTGAATTTAATTCCTTCAAGGCCCGGTTAATCAACACCCCGCTTTCTCGATGCTGTCTTCCCTGACCAGACCCACTCCTGTAGCAGGCCACAAGGCCTGTCCCTCTCCCGCACCGAGCTCTAAAATAGGCTCACTTCTCCCCTTCCCCCACTTGGCTTTGTTCTGGACAATGCTACATCTTTCCATTTGGACTAGGAGCCTTTCCGCTGCAGGGCACGTGTTCAGTACACAGGAGGCTTCAGGCTGCTTAGCCCACTGCTCCACATAAATCAGGCATTGCGGAAGTTGCTCCTCTTGATGGTGATGATACCCGTGTTAACTGTACAGGCAGGAAAACCTAACCGAGCGGTTCGGGATGTTTCCAAGGGCTCCTCGCCTTGGGTGGCAGGTAGGCTTTGTCCCCCCAGCGGGCCTTTGCCTGCTCTAGTCCTCAGTTCAGTCGATGAGGTGCCACGGCTGCAATCCAGGCTGCCTACCGTAGCTGCACTGAGCAAAAGGGGCGAAGAACCAAACAACCATGAGACGACACCGTGGCTTTTGAAACAGGTACATAGGCTCCCTTGTTTAATAGCAGTTGAGAGAGGAAAACGTACAGGAGGAATAAACATGCTCTTTCCACACAGGAGGTTCCCACTAACCACGAGGCCCATCTGCATCAGTAGCTTTATGAGTGAGTCTTAAAGAAAAAAGTTCCCTTTAGAGTTAAAAATGGACTCTCCTAAATTTCCTCCATAAATGTGCAACTATTTGTGCAAAATAAAAAGGCCATTTCCAACACATTAGTGAAAAGTAATTGCGAACGCAGGCAAAGAAAAAAAAAGAGGCAGTCGAAGCAGCCAGGAACAGAGTCCTGAGAGAAGGGAGGTGAAGGGAGGGGGAGCTCTGTAGCAGGCCCCAGGGAGTGTGGAGAGGCTTTATGAGGAAGGTCATGGCCATTGCCGATCTTGGAGAGAGAGGGCCCTGGGTCTGGGGCTTGCTGAGCAAGCACTTGTCAAGTGTGCAATGAAGCTAGGCTGGCTTTGGGGCCCGAGAGACTGTTGGGCCTGGTATGCAGTGGAAACACTGGGGAGCACTCCTTGGAAGCTGGACACTCCTTTTGTCAACAGGGACTCTGCTGGTTCCAATTTCCAGGTCCTGTTCTTCTCCACCCCTAACAGCTTCATTCACAGTCCAGAGAGATTTCCTGTGAATGTTAAAACTATACAAGCTGTCTACCCTACTGCTGAAGCCTACTAGGGGCCCGAACCAGAAGGGCCCTTCAGAAACATGGACCTGGTTTCCCCAAGAACTTGGCTAAGCGTCACACTAACTCCAAGGCTTGTAGCCTTCTAGCCACTGCTGTTCTTGCTCTCCTGCTGAGGCCTGCCGGGGCACTTCCACATCTCTGGGCATCTGAGGCCAGGTCTTAGGAGTCTGAGGGGCATGGGCGCATGTGCACAAGTCCTCTCAAGGGCTGGACCAGCTAGAGGCATAGAGACAAGACTCAAAAATCCGACTTTGCGCAATTCAAACAACTTGGACATTGCCGTCCCCGTGTTTTGACCTTCCCTTGCCCAACAAGAGCGTGTCTCTAGAGACAACTCAGTAGCAGCATGTTGGTTTCATCAGAGAAGACAGACGGCAGACCGAGAGGGAAGAGATCGACCAAAGGGTCCTCCCCTATGAGGCTTGAGCTTGGGTAAGTGTGTTCTTCAGAGGGACTTTTGTGTACGAGGTGCACAGGAACCCCCGTTCCTCCACCCTGTTTACTTTTCCTCTATGGCAGTCTTTCCAGGGTATGGGCCTGAGACCAGACCAGCAATGATGACTCGAAAAAGACAAAAACTGTGCCATGCTTAAGGTTCTCTCCATCCCATGTCCCCGTCTCAGCTCTCCAAGCTGAAAGGATCTTGCTCCAAACGGAGGACTATTGAAGGAGTGTGTGTTGGGCCCTTCTTAAGCAACAGGACTTCAGGTTAATGTAATCATTTCTTGCTCTCTTTCAATTGAACCCAGGGCTCAGGCGATGGCATCTAGGGTGTCATTCCCATGGCTTCCTGCCTTCCCTTGCCTTTTGCAATTCTGGGTGGCAGCATTCATCCCCGACCCTCATCCTGAGACCCTGGGCCAAGCACCTAGGCCTCAAGGTAAGCCTTAGAAAGCTTCTCCAGAGCTTCCACACAGCCTGCCCTCTCCAGCTTGGAGGAAGGCTCATGTCTGTGTGTGTAATCTCTTCCCCTTGGTTTGCAAGTTGGGATGGGATTCGGGGGGATCGGGGTGGGGAATGAAAAAGGAAGCACTGCCCTTCCCAGAAGCAACTCAGTAGCTGACGAAGGTAGTGAAGAATTCTGTTTGATGAGTCTCTCCTCCCATTAATCCAAGCTGGAAATGCCTGTGTGGCTCATTTGTCATTGTTTGGTGATGCACAATTAGACGCTTGCCGGTAGCCACAGGAGCACCTTCCTGAGGAGTCTTAGAGTGCAGGCTCCTCTGACTGACCCCATGGCAAAGCCCTTGCACCAAGCGTCGGGAGCCCATGTGCGATAGCGGACACAGCTGCCAAGCCAGCCAGTGCAGGCTCCCTGGGATTATAGACAACCTTTCTCAGATGAGGCCAAAGGAGAGCTCTGGGGATCTGAGAAGAGGATGGAAGGCTTGGGCTTGAGTAAGAAGAGCTTCACATCTAGGACATGACTCAGGAAGGGACCGCTGGGCCAGAGGCAACCAAGCACTAGCCACAGTTGGCCCTGTCCACCTCATGGTGGCAGTGGCTCCCTCCCGACAGGCATCCTGTCCAGCCGCAGCTACCCCCATCGTGCAGAGCTGGTCATGTTTCTTTTAAAGATGGTGGCCAGAGAGCTGGTTTTCAAACACAAGGAGCACTCCCCAGGAACCTTCAGGTTTTACCTAAGGGTAAAGGAAGGGCCATTTTCAGGCTTCTGGAATCCGACTTATCCCAATGACACTACTGAAGGAGGCCAAGTCCGAGACTCTCTGTGAAGATCTACGGAAATAACTGTTGATCTATGCTCTGAACCAAGTGCCCTGACCCTGAAAGAAGACGATGAGATGAACAGGGAAGGGACCGAGGCTCCAATTCCATTCACACTGGCTTTCAAGAGCTAATAAAACTCCTCCCGGCGTGGAGCAACCTGCAGTTAGTCATGGGGTTCAATTATCACCACTATATTCAGCTCTATCTTGCCCCAGAAAAATCAGCAATAAAAGCACTGGGTCAGACCTGGGCTAAAGAAACTGCCACCCTTGGAGGACTGGAGTGAAGCTGTCATCTGGCCACACACCATGCTTGCTCCCCAGCCAATGAACGTTGGTGGACTGAGGAGATCCGAACCTCCAGAGCTGTGTGCTGGTCTCTCATACGCTAAACAGTAACGTTTTCCAGGTCCTCTCCATGCACCAGGAAGAACCAACCTCACCTGTGTGGTGAATGGGGCGCCCGGGAGTGAACAGGATATTCTTTATTATCTTTTCGCCTACTCACCTTACCTCCCGGTGCCAAGGACCCATTTTGTTTGTGTCAGTCCTGAGCCCCAGACCTAGGCTCTAGAGCCACAGTGAAAGGTGGTGCATCATCCTGGGACTGGTGAGACCCCCATCGCTAGGCTAACACAGAGTACAGTATGACTTCCCCTGAGTCCCAGCCTAGCAACACCTCACATACTTGCTTCTTCTTGTGCCTCTTTTACTATAGGGAAAGGTTATGTGAATACTGTACACAGGTTATTAAAAAAATACATTTGCTCTCTTTGAAGAAGAATGCACGAATGCAGGGCCAGCCGGGGCTGGGTCCCAGCCTCTGGGGCTGTGGTGAGCAGCCGCTGCGGGCCCGAGGCCAGCCTTCACGAGTGGTGGCTGCTGATGAGTCCCCGGAGCTGCTTGGCCACAGTGTCGATCAATTTCTGCTTGTCTCGCTCATTTTTCCGAAACTGTGCAAACATGTTGTTCTTGCGGCTAGTGTCCTTCATCCTAAACAGAGAAGGAAAGAAGAAGAGCAAAGTGTTTGAGGAGGCAATGGTGGAAGGAGAACGGGTGGGAGGTAGGATGGTGCCATGCATCTTCACCTCTACCCAGTGTTGAGAGAGTCCGGAATATTTCCATCGTCAGGCCCATACCTACCTACTATTCAGGAAGCTGTCCTGCTGGCACCCACAGCCCTCCCAACCTCAGTCACCTTTGGAAAATAGTCAAAAGCCAGCTATGGAGGGACCAATCCCCTGATCATCCATACCCACCCTACCTCTTTCCTTCCCTTCTATCTCCAGGTATGCACCTGCTATAGGTATCTGGGGCATGTTAAAGCCCTGATGGTCAAGGGCTCTTACAGAATTATCTAGCTCTAGGATCCACTTATCATATCCTGAGCTTATGAAATCCTGCTGGGACCTTAGAGCTGGTGTTTGAAAGATAAAGCAGGAAAAAACTCTCGGCTAGCAAATCTAAGAGGAGATGAATAACTATCGTATAGTTCTAAACTTCACTGGCCAATTCCTCTGTTCCATCCCTAACAAAACAAAGGGCCTGACTGATTTCTTTTGTCTCAGAGTAAGGACCCAGAGGCAGTGAGGTGGCTGAGTGCATGGTGCAGAGGAGAGCAGATGGACCATCCTTTCACTCGATGAGCCAGAACTTCAGGCAAGAGAAGCCCCTGAGAACTCGAGGGCTGTCCATATCCTCAGACCTTTGACCTTCTTGCTAAAGCTCCAGAGATGGCATATTCCTAGAGCGCAAACCATGGGAAATTCTGGCCAATGGTCGTGGCCAGATGGAAAGACCTAACCAGGAAGCATGGATAAAGTCAAGACCAGGCTGTGGTTTCACAGAAACGCCCAAGTCTGAGTAAGCCATAGTGATAGAATGTGGGAATGTGCTAACCCCTGCAGAGAGTCCACAACCTCTGACAGCTGACATCTGACTGTGACCTCTGGTCTCAGTCTCTGCACAATGGACCTCCAACCCACAGCTAGTTCCGGTGTTAGAGCATTAAGAACACTGCCCAGACCAATTTCTCCTTGGGGTAGGCCTAGGTGGTCTTCACCACCATCCCCCAGGAGCTGGGCTGGCTCTCTGGCTCCACAGCTCCCTGGGCTGCATGGAGACAGGTCAGAAGAAGGAGGGGAAGGAACCTGGTAACCCTGATAATCTACCCCCAGGTATACCCCCCAGGGGCCTTCGGCCAGTCCTGGCCCATTTTTTTCCTGTGGGGTGGCCCTTGTGCAGAGGGGCAGATGTGAGGCCAATGGGTTAAAAGGCTAGAGATGCCACAAGGGCATTTATATTCACAAGGCCAGGAGATGCTGATGAGCACCAAAGCTGTGTGGTGGGGGCCGACACTGATGCCACAAATGAGTTGTGACTTTTTTTCACAGATCTGAGCTTAAGGGCCTTCAGGCTGGAATTACTCAAGTGAATTCAGAACTCTGAGTATAAGGTACAACTACTCATATGTGCAGGACTGTGCTTGGAGGTGAGGAAGAAGGAGAGGTGACAGAGGCTGGTTGAAAAGAAAGCACATGGGTCCTCAAGGCTATGATGATTACTGTATTTGGTCCCTTACACATGAATTGCACAATAATGTTTGTGGAACTGGCCTGGCTTTAGATTATTTATCCCAGAGAAGGACTCCTTTTCCTTTGCTGAAAATGCTATGAATCTAAACAAAAACAACACAAAACAAGAAAGAAAGAAAGAAAGAAAGAAAGAAAGAAAGAAAGAAAGAAAGAAAGAAAGAAAGAAAGAAAGAAGGAAGAAAAAACACTCCCTACACGTAGAAGGTGTTCATTTTAACATCTTACGTGATCATGAATTTCATGACTCCTTGAATCCGCCCAGAGACGGGGAGCCAGAGTTGGCTTTCAGCTCCCATAAGGAAGCTCCCCAATAAGGTAGGAGAAAGGGAGGAAGAAGGTAGTCCCTGAACCTCAGAGGCTAGGAGTTCTTGGCCATTAAGGCCTGGAGTTGGGATTACTCAAAAGATAAACTCAAGTGCCCTGACGGCTGATGGCAGCATGCTGGTTTGTGTCCTGGGATGCTCCCAAGCCAAAGGGGGTTCCCTCCCCTTGTCCCCTCTCATTCTGTAAGCCTGGGATCCTGCTATACTTTGGCTATGGCCACCTCTCAGTGACACTGGTGCCTCTTCTCTTTCCTGAATGTTCTTAGCAGGTCTCTGGGTCTTCTCATGTCTCACTCTGCCAAGAAGCACCAGGTTGAAAAGGAGAGATTGTCAAGCTCTGGTGGTAGATCTGGCTGGGGCGAAAGCAGGAAAGGGTCAGCTAAAGGGACTGATTCCTATGAGGCTGGGAAGTAGAGATTTTAGTGATCTGGGTGGCCTTTGCCCCTACTGTGTTTGGGAGGAAGCTTTTAAACCCTGCTGATTGCTGGGGATAATAAGCACATGGCTTTGTTACTGTTAGGCCTCCAGAATGCTACAGAGAAGCTTATTATTTTAGCCTATTGTTGATACACAGAAAGTGGATGAGGCAATATCTCTTAGATCTAGAGATTCTTAGGAACAGACAAGTAAAGGAATGTTGAGAGAAGGAACTGGAAGGGAATCCCACAGCCCATTTGGACACATAGTGAATACGACATCTAAACACCAACTGAAAGGCCCAACCCTCATTTCAGCTGGGATTAGGCCTTGTCTCTAATAAAAAGTTTCCCCCCGGGAGACATAGGTTCCAGATCTTAACGCCATGGGCTTCACCACCAGGAGGTGGGGGAGACTGCTGAGGAGCTCCCTTCTGTCAGGGCTGAGTGTCAAGCTTTGCACTAGCAAGAGTATAGAGTGTGCCAGGAAGCTGAGCACCAGTGGGGGAAAAATTCCCTGCCACCACCTCCAGCCCCATAGGAATCGGTATGCCAAGGGTCACTCGAAGGACCAAGGAGAGAGGAGACAGCCAGCCAGTTGGCACCAGGCTAGTTTAGTAGATTAGTATGTCAGGGTGGAGACAACTCACAGGGTAAGGATTTAGTGTAGTCATTAGTGTCAGTGAGGAAACCAGAAGGACTTGCCTCAAAGTGATGGAAAAGGCCCAAGTGAATAATATACTTACTCTCTAGAGATCCTAAGGAGGAAGGTCATTGGGAGAAAGAATCAATGGGAAACAAAATGGAAATATCAGTCTGGCTTGGTCTGGAGAAAGTCGCACCCCGGGCTCTTAGTTTCTTGGCTCCAAACACATTCCTCTGCATCCTGCTCTTGCCTACTTCCCATCTCCTCCCCTTTCCCCCTTTTAATTGCATAGTAGGGAGCCTTTCCTACTGCTTAAGGTTCCACTCTGACCTCCTAGACGCTGATCCGTGGTATCCAAGTTCACATATGGCCATATATGTCCTTGCTGTACTGTTTAGATGCAGGGTACTCTTCCAAGAAGCTGGCAGTTAACTAGTGTGATGACAAGAAAAAGCTTCCCTTCTACACGGATCTTGGTCTCTGGCCTGCCAGCTCTCAACTAGGTTAGGAAAAGCCGGAGCTAGGCTGCACAACAGATCCCAGCATCTGGGTGATATACTGGTTAGCCGGGAGACGTTCCGGAGCTGGCTAACCCAATCTCCGTGGTGGCACCTCTGCTGGCCAGTGACTGCCCAAAGCAAGAATGAGACACCTTGTCCAACACAGCTTTCTTGGGACAGTCGGCACAACAAGGCTCAATCTGGCAGGGAGTGGGAGGGGGTGCTGGTAGAAGGTTTCTGGAATTCCGGAAACTTGTCTGCTAGAAACCACAGGAGCCATCTTCCATGGGGCTCTTCTGCCCATTGTCCCCAGATGATTGGGGCCAGTCTCACTCTGTTCACCAGGCGGCCTGAACCCAAACTTAAGGCATCTTCCTTTCTTCTCTTGTCATCGCTAGTTAAAGAGATGTTGCCCCATTCAGCTCCAAGGTAAATGCCAGAGTCCACCTGACCCAAACTGGGCTTAGCTTCTTGGGGCTCAGGAACGCTACAAGAAGAACGTCAGCCTGCCCAATCCAGTGGTGGAGACTACTGGTAGCACTCACAGCAACTTCAAGAACAGGGCCTCTCTGCTATCTTTGGAAGGTACTGGCAAAGAGAAAATCGTCCCCGACCCCGATCCCCACCTCCCAACAGAGACCACCGGACTGGGTACTCACTTCTCAAGCAGGGTCAGAGCGGTCACTGGGTTCACTCGCAGGTACTTGCAGTTGGGCTGACCATAGTCAGCAAGGTAGGTTGACCAGTCCCACTGGATGAAGAGATCCAAAAGCTGTAAAATATTCAAACCCCACCCCAGGGATTAATCAGACAAGACAAACCAGGATCTCGGAAAACCCCTGACATCCTTCACTGCCAGCTAACGGTAGACTTGATAAATAAAAAATTAAAATGTAGTAAGAGAAAGAATGGCTAAAGCCTGGAATGCACCTACGAAAATAAATGAGTAATCGGTAGAAGGCCGAGTCGTCTCGGCCATAAGCATTGTGATGCTGCTAAGACTACAGGCCAACATTTAGCTCTCAGGGGTGGGCCTGAGACTGAAGCAAAACACAAGACTGTCATAATAACCGGTCACTTATTAATTTAATAAATACTTATCAAATGCCTTCCATGTGCCAAGCACCATTCCAGGAGCTCAGAAGTCAACAATGAACAAATGAAGGTGGCTACAGTCCAGTGGCACATATGTACTGTATAACCTTTGAGGTTAAAAGGTGAGGGCTCAAGAACCAGTTTCATGACTTGCTGCACTGACTTTGTCCAAGTTACTCAGTTGATACCCTGAGATATACTGAGAAAAAAAAAAAATATATATATATATATATACACACATATATATATATTGGTCTCTGGCCCTGGTTACTGGCATAGAGCTCCTAAAACCCTTGTAATTTCCTAAGTGATAAGAATACTAGGAGCATCTCTTGTCCTAATATCACAGCCTTTGACCTCTGTTCTTGACACAGACCTCCTCAAACCCGTGTGATTTCCCGGGTGGCAGGAGTGTCTTTTGTTCTAATGAGGCGACCCTGGGCGGGCTCCCGGATAAGGCTGGTCACTGACTGGAAAGATCAAGCCATGATTAGAAACTTGGAATTTTCAGCCCCACCACCTATTCTCTTGAGAAGGCAGAAAAGCTGAAAATAGGCCTCATGATCCATCATGCCCAGGTGGTGAAGTTTCCATAAAATCCCTAAAGTATGGGGTTTGGAGAGCTTCTGGGTTGGTGAACACGTGGAGATTTGGAGAGTGGTGTGCTTAGAGCACGGAAGCTCCTTCACACCCTTTCCCCTAGACCTTGCCTCATACATCTCTTCCACCTGGAGGCTCCTGAGTTATGGCTTTTTCCAATAAACCTGTGATCTAGTAAGCAAGGTATTTCCTGAGTTCTGGGAGCTGTTCCAGCAATTTAGCAAACCTGAGGAGGAGGTCAAGGCAATCTCCCATCTACAGCAGTTGGTCAGAAGCCCAGATTGACAACCAGGTGGCTTGTGTCTCAATTGGGGGGAGGGTCTTGTAGAACTGAGCCTTTAACCTGTGGGGTCTGACGCTGTCTGCGGGTAAACAGTGTCAGAATTGAGTCGAACTGTAGGACATCCAGCTGACGAGGGGAACAACGTCCACGCATTTGGTGACCAGAAGTGTCAGAAATGAAATGTTTCATGAGGGTAGTAAAGGAGCCTCGGAGGAGAAACACAGTAGGGAAGAACTGAGTTTTTCCCTACGTAGAACACAAAGAACTGAGTTTTTCCTTTACAGATAGACATATACACATGCCTATAGTATGTAAACAGGACACAGAGACAACACAGAAACATGGAACTATGGCATGAATGGATCACATAGAATTACGTGAGGCAATCTGTGTCGCACCTATGTGGACACTGGCTCAGTAGATGAAAACTAGGGCCACGGGAGGTCAGGACTGGAAAATGGGCTTAGTCCATGGTTGAGGGCCCAGAGCCCGGCACTGGGATCAGGAGTGTTCAAGAGGAATGCCACGGAGTAAGAGTGCCAACAACTAGATGGGTCTAAGAAGATAATGAGAGCACTCTGAGGGTAAACTGAGTTCTGAGTCTGGGGGAGATTCTGATTTAGAGAAACTTAAATAAATTTTGTCAAAGGCTTTGGTTCCCAGCTGGATTTAGCCTCAGGTTTTCACCCTCACCCTAACAAATATTTAAAAACTGTAACTGAGGGTGCCTGGGTGGCTCAGTTGGTTAAGCGACTGCCTTCAGCTCAGGTCAGGATCCTGGAGTGCTGGGATCAAGTCCTGCATTGGGCTCCCCACTCAGTGGGGTGTCTGCTTCTTCCTCTCACCCTCTCCCCTCTCATGCTCTCTCTCGCTCTCTCTCAAATAAATAAATAAAATCTTAAAAAAATAATAAAATAAAAAATAAAATAAAAATAAAAACTGCAACTGAGTAAAACTAAAAAAGAAATCCGGGCATTTCAAAGGTAGGAGTGATGAAAGGGAAACTGTTGGCTCCCCTCTGTAAGCTTCTAGAGGGGGTAAAGTCCCGTACTCACATTGCTGCACAGGAGCAGGGCCCCCTAAGCAGTCCTTTTAGCAATGAGATACATGTAAAGGCTTTTGGGACTCAAGATATGTCCCTACTTCTCCCTTTCCAAGAGGTAACTGTTGATGAAGGCATCTCTCGGTGCAGAACAAAGACCAGAGAGGCCTAGAGGCAAATCCAATGCCAGAGCCTGGGCTTTAGGCACACCTTCCTCCCCTATCTGTCTTCACCGTGCAGCTGGGCAAACAGGCACTGTGGGCCTTGCCCTGCTTGGCCAAGCCTCCTCTTCCAATCATTCTTTTAGAATAGTTGTTATAAACCTCCTCAGGCAGGACAGGAATTGGCTGACGTCCCGAGCCTAAAACTGAGAAAAGCCCCTATCCCCTCAGCCAAGAAAGGGGTGTTAAAGATGAAGGGAGACAGGGAGAGAGATGGGCAGACATGTCGGTTGATCTAGGCTGGCCTGGCCCCAAAGGGCCCTCTCAGGCCTCTTTCAGGTCAGGCCTATTTTAGTTGGCAAGTAAAAGGGCTTCGACCACATCCTTTCACTGCCCCAAGGCCTCACAGAGCTCTGCTTGAGGAGAGAATTTTCCCTGACTTCCCACTCTCACTGTGGTGTTTCTGTGCTGTGGTGCCCGAAGACCACACGGGACAGTCCTCTTTACCTGCTCCCAGGAGTGCGACACTCAGGGTGTCCCTGGTTCTGCAGTCCTCCCACTACTGTGCTTTACAAACACAATTATGCTTTTTCCTCAAATCCCAGGAAAAAACTATGAAAAAAGATAGCATTCTCTTAATTAAAATTTCTTTTCAGAAAAAGGTGAAAGACCTGGGGGAGCCTGTCATTGTTTGCACACTAGGGAGCGAATACAAAAAAAGTGGATGAATAACAAGTTGAAGTGGAAAATTCGGAAAACCCAATTTCCTGAAAGTTATTTTAGGTATTTTCAGGTGTACACACACACACACACAGACACACACAGACATTTGATGAAACTACCTTCTCTATTAATGAATTCCTAATTTCTGTGATGGAATGAATGGTATCCGTATTTTCTGATTTATTGCAAAGAATGCCATGTCCTTCTGGCTGCTGACACCTGGGCAAATCACCAATGGGGTGTGGAGAGTAGTTCATGATTTAGCTCCACAGTTTTCTATTTTTATCTTCCTGCCCAAGTCTCTCAAGGCCAGTACTGAGCCTAAAAGCTCTGGGATGTCAAACTACTTAATTGATCCACTCTGGGCACGAAACCTACACAACTCTATTAAGCTCAACCAGTCCGAGCCTGTCCATCACACTCTGGGTCTGTGTTGCTTTCCACAGTCCTTTCAGGGGCCAGTGCCTAAATCTTATGGCCTCCTCTGAGAGAGATGGGCATAGACTAGAGTCTGGGGGAGTACTTAAACCAAGTTGGCTGCATGGGGCACGGTTCCACTGGATTCCACGGAACAGTGTTAGGAGGCCAGGAGACCCAACAGGCCTCTTGATCGACACAGCACTATGATTCCAGACTGACTTGCACTTGGATGGATCCCAGCCTGGATCTCCACATACAATGGCCTTGTTAGAGCTCAGTGATGTCTCTCTCAGCGATGCAAAACATTCGGTCATCACTAATGATCCCATTCTTTTTAATTGTAAGATTTTTCATTTGGAAATAATTCCAAACTTATCACAAGGTTGCAAGAATAAGCATAGAATAAAGAACATCGTATGCCTTCCTCCCACATCCATCATCAACATTTCACACCATATGCTCCAGCCTTCGAGTGCTCTTTCTCTCTTTACACACATGGGCACACAAGATCTTTCTTTTCTGAGTCCCTTGAGAGTAAACTGCATGTACCATGGCCCTTTATTCCCAAATACTTCAGCATTCCTAAGAATTAGGGATATTCTCTTGCATAACCATAGTAGTTTTCAACTGCAGTAAATTTAATACTGATACAGTCCATATGCTAATTTTAGAATTGAGCCAATAATGTCCTGTATAGAGACTTTGGTTTTGGTTTTGCTCCATTCTATCATATCGCTTAGGACGAGGTATTACATTTAGTTGTCTGTTGAGTCTTCTTTAATCTGGACTATTTCCACAGCCTTTCTTATATTGACATTTTTGAAGAATAGAGTCCTCTGCCTCCTTTTCCCCACTCAGTTTTGCTTTTTTCTAGTGCTTTCTCATAATAAGATTTAACACCTGCATTTCTGGCCAGAATTCTCCCTCAGTGCTGCTGTATACTCCTCAGGGGATCCCGTCTGGAGGTATACACTGTTCATTTGTCTCTCCTTGGTGGTATTAATTTTGAGCACTCAATCAAGATGTTGTCTGATTTCTCCCTCTCTAGGTAGTATGTTTTCCTTTGCAACCAGTACGCAACAGGGGAGACAGTTTAAGACCACGCAAATATACAGCTTCTGATTAAAATTTCCCCTCAGATTTAGCATCCATTGAAGATCCTTGTCGGCTTCAGCTTCACTATGATGGTTGCAGACAGAAGGCATCCAACTTCTCCCTTCCTTCCACATTCATCACTCGTCGCTCAGCACTTTTCCCCCATTAACTTATGTATTTATTTATGGTATGGGTTCATCGGCTCCCATTTTCTCAATGGCTTATATTCATTACTACACCTAATTATTTTGGTGCTCAAATTGTCCCTGATTGGTCTGGAGTCTGTGTCCTGTGAGAGGCCCCATATAGTTTCTGAGGAGTGCTTACTTTCTGGCCTAATAAGGTGCTGTATG